TAGTTTGTGTGCGCGCATTGTGTTTAGTCTTGGCTGCAGCTGTGTTATTTCTGTTTGCAGGCGTGCAACTACTGGACAAAAGCAGCTGCCTTTTCCCAGTGCTCACGGCAGTGCAGTACCCTGATAGGTGCTAGGAAGAGCAGGAAGATGTCTCTGTCTTGGTCCATGAGTAAGAAGATGCCCTCTCCTCTCTTCCTTTCATGGGTCGGGCCATATGGGAAGTGTGAGTGAAGAGGGGTGGGGAGTAGTGTTTGCCAGCTGGATGACTGGGATTCCTCTATGGAGTAGGTGCTCACAGCAGTCGAACTCTGACTGTGGGTTGTTTCGATGTTCAGGAGTGAAAGGACTAAGGGCTCACGGCAGCTCTGATCTCTCCCTCTCTAGCTCCAAGGTTAGTTCCTGTGTGATTCCTCTTTTCTTTCTTAGAAAGCAGAAGAGGCAGAGAAAAGGGTTCAGCACCAGCTGCTCCTCTTGAGCTTTTTCCCAGTGCCATTCACCGGTGGCTGGTGATCTACAGAAACCAAAACAGGGCTGAAAGGCTGCTGCTCCCTCACCTGGTAGAGAGACCTGGTGTGGTAGGACCCTCTCCTGCACACACAAGGATCCAGGAGAACAAAGCAGAGGTGGACTTGGAGGAAAGGGATGAGAATTGGCTTGGGTAAGTAGAGTGGAGGGCTTTGGGTTTCATCTTGTTGCTGCCATCAGGGAAGGACTGTCTTGTAGGTCTTTGAGCTGATAAAGCTTATTTTCCCCTCTTGTCTATAGGAGGAAGTATCTGAGGAGGTGGCATCACACGGTGGTACTTTGCCGGTGCCAGCATGACAGGAGACGGCGCTGTCTGACGAGCGGATGGCATCAGTGGAAAGAAGCCAGCAGGGTGGTGATACTGGCTCAGGTGTTGGTGAGTGTCTGGTACTGCCACCAGAGTGGCAGCGATGGCTGTTACTGGATAAGCCTGCTCTGCTTGCAGCCTCACATACATCCTGGGAGATGAGACCTGCGGATTTAACAAGTGCCAGTGTGCACCAGAAATACTGGTTTGCTGCTGTAGCTACTTTTCCCATCTTTCTCCTTGAAATGCCAGCATGGCAGACTGGCACATCCACATATTTAGTTATGCTTTGCCCCATCTTACAGATGGGAGGCTGAGACAGGATGATTTGTACAGATTGCCTGTAGTCTGTGCAAAAAGTTCACAGCAAGTATTACAGTCTGTGTCCTCGTCTGTGTTCCTGATACATCCCTCTGGTGTCCTCAGCCTACCAAGGGCTGTCATTTGGCCTCCCTTTCTGCTCAGGCCCCAGCCATCTGTGGAACAGACTCACGTTCTGTCTGGCTTCCTGGGCATTAGCTGTGTGAGATGTGCTCTGACCTGCCCATAGGACAAGATGACGCATGTATAACAAGCACATCCGTAGTCACTGAGGAGCTGTGCCGGAGCACTGATGGGGCACTGTCCTTTTCCCAGGGACTTAATTAGCCACAATACTTGCAGGAGACAGTAGTTCAGCAAGAGGTTTGTTAGTAGTCAGCTTTGTTCATTACCAAAGTGCAGTCATTCAAGAGAGACCAGGGAAAACAACTGGAAGCAAGGTGGGACTAGAGGGAAGTGAGGTTGTTCGCCTGCCAGAGCCCCACTAATCTGTGCACTGCCTCTCTCCCTGGCAGGACCAACAGCGGGTGATAGAAAAGGCCTGGAGGGTGTGGAGACAACGACATTTGCAAAACTGTGTGGTGCAGAATTTTTTGGAGGAGGAAGCCAGGAGCCTACTCTCTCAGGTAAGCATTTATGACTGCTTTAATTCTGTGGACCTTAGTGGACCAAAAAGCACCCCAAAGGGTCAACTCGTGTTCCCTGTATCTCTCTCCCTGCACAAAGCACTTGCTTAGGGAGAAGTTGAATACATCAAGGCATGGGACTTGCTCATAACAAAGGGAAATAGCTTCCAGCTTTATATGGGTTCATCTTTGGGTGTTTTTCAAAGCTTTGTGTCAGCAGTCAATTTCCCTGATGTGTGCCCCCTGCCCCACTGTTATCAGAGATGTTAATCCACTAATCCTCTGCCTCTCAAGAGCCCACTCAGGGAAGAAACAGGCTCCACATTGGTGCAGGAGGACTGTGCTGACTTGCACCCGGGGCAGGCAAATTGCTATAAATTTGAGTGAGCAGGCAAAAGCTTAGAGCTTAAATAGCCAGTTCGCCCCTCTGCCTGCCTCCCAAAGATCCGTGCAGGATTGGGTCCTCCTTTAATGAGATGAGAGCAAGTACTGAAATTAGAGGGCAGAGGGGGCACTGGTCTTCCTTTTCTCACTTTGATTTGTACTCTGCGCTTCACTTGCTGGCTACAGGAACACAGGGGAGACGGGAAGGGCTCTGAGTGAATCTTGAGGCAGCTGGCATAGCCATTGCTAGAGGAAAAGCTTTGTTTAGGGTACTGTGAGGGTGGCTGCAACCCCTCAAGGGTAACCTGAGTATTTGATTTGTCCACTTTACTATTTAAGGCCTTTGGAAGGTGGCGCCAGCTAACAGCATTCCAGCTCAAAGACAAAGGACGCTGGTGAATGGTGGGGGCCTGCCTGCAGCTGCTGCTCACTTCAGGACACGTGGAGGATACAGCTGGCTGTCACAACAAAGAGCTGGTCCTGCGCAATCAAGAAAGCGAATGCTCTGCTCACATGATAAAAGCAGTGCTGCAGGCCAGAAGTAGGATAGCCAAGGGACAACCAGGAAGCCATGGTACCTAGTGAAAGGTCCTTTTTAAAGGACTGATAGCCTACCTACCTAGAGGCACAAATTGAGAACTTGCTCCCTTTTGTTGTGAGGTTGCATTCCCTTCTCCTCTGGACCCTGATTTCGCTGGAGTTCTGATTAAAGGTCAAAAAACCCCAACCTTATAGGCTCTCTCTTTACTCTATTTTTTCCTGGACAGGAGTTTAGTGTCATGCAGGGGAGTAAGCAAATACATCAGTCTTAAAGAGATGAGCAGGAGTCTGCCTGTGAAACACTACATCCTGTTGATTCCAAAGTCTGGACTGTCCTTGGTAGGTGCGAACACAGGTCTTTATTTTTAGATTTGGCTCTTCCCCTGGGGGGGATTCCCACATGGCTCCCACCTCCTCCCCCTGTCTAGGTCCATCAGCTCTTCATTAAGGCTTTCAGTGGGTGGCCAACCTCTTGACTGCTTCCTGCTGGTTCCTTTCTGTACTGAATGGGCTAGGGATGAAGAAACCTGCTGGGAACAGCTGAGCACCAAAAGCTTTGCTGAGGCAAGACAGGCGTGTCTGACCCCCAACCTTCCCATTACTTGCTTCTGTGATTGATGCCCTGTAATTACCCTGGATATATGAGCCCAGTCTCAGGCAGCTGTAATGAGAGGGCCTGAAGAATCTGGAAAAGGCTTTTCTTCCTTGCTTGTTTGAAAGAGATGCTCACAGCATGGCAGGCATCTCAAAATCCCACTGGGAACTGCCCCAAGGTCTTGTTTTCCTAGCCTGTGGTAGCTTTGCAGGATTGTTAAGTACACAAAGCAGCCGGTTTAGCTCCTCCAACCCCTTATTTCAATGCTGTTGAGCCTAAGGCTGTTAAGAGTCATTAGGTCAGGAAAGATAGGCTATCTTTCCTTACAGGCACTGGAAAAGGACCACCACAACTGCTGTGACCTTGCAGAACCAAGCCAAAGGCTATAGCTGGTTGCTCTTGGTAAATTGTAGGATTTAAGCTTTCTTTACTCTACTGTGGAGCTTTGTCCATACTTTACTTAGGGTGTGTTGAAAGTGAAGGCAGAACTGCCCCCTAAACAATTGGTTTTCTTAAAACTTCCCTATGTGCCAGACTGATTAGTTTGCAAACAACATGTCTTTGCTACTTACAGTAGTGTGACTTACAAATACAAATGTCTCTTGTACTATCTTATTGTACTTCATCTTGTGAAAAATAGCTTTCAGTCCAAATGAAATAGGCAGAGTTCTCTATGGAGCACATTTTTATTTACGTTCTTGCAAGAGCGGGTGACCCAGCAAGTAGGCATCACTTTGGCTCATGAGGCACACCTTTTTATTTCCCTATCCTGACCGAATTTCCCTCCCCTGTTTCCCCATCAGTTAGGTACTCCAGGGTTCACAGCCTATCTGAAGCGCCTAAAACTTTACTGGATGTCCTGCCTGTTTACTTCTACTCATACTCCACCCAGAGGACTTACCTCACTTATTTCTTTCCTTTTTCAGTAAAGTTTCCCAACCTTATCAGCCTTAGTTAAACGTTTGACTGCTCATCTTACCACTAATCCTGTATGATTATCCTTTTTCTGTGCGATAAGAGCCGTGTTATACAAGCCTTTGCTGCAGCCTCTTTGTCTAGTCATTTCCTTGCCACAGTCATCTGATGGAAAACAGCTTTTCTCTGTTGCAAAAACAACTGTCTCTTACAATCTAAGAAATAGTGTGATTCCTACTAAAATGAAAAAAAGGAGATATAATAAAGGAGAAAAGTTAGGGAGAGAATTTGAACCTTCTTCTGGAGTGAGTGCAAAAGAGCCTGATATGATCAGTTATGAAGAAATACATCTTACGAGTGCAATGTAAAAGCAACTTGAGCTTCTCTTCAGGGTTGGTAACTGCTGAAATAGTGTCCTTGCATAGGCACTACTGACAGGAGTGTTTCTGCCCCCAAAGTGGCATTTCTGGCATAAGAAAGTTACCAGAATTCCACTGAGTTTTATCACATTAATGCACAAGAGTTCTCCTGTTACTGTAATCAACGTAGCCATGATTAGCACCTCTTCATCCTGCAGAGCTGGCCTTCAAGCTCAGCCTAGAGCCTCAGCTCAGAGGTTCAGGTAGTTCTGGCTATTGTTCAGTGAGAAGGGGTCAGGGAGCCTTTCTGTTGGGGACAGAAAAGCATGTAGTGTGGGTAGATCAGAGAACTAGCCTGGTCGCTGGGTGTAGGAGTGTGTGGTCCACCATCAGCACAGGAGCTGCTTTTTCTCTCTTGGCAGTCAGTGGACGGAAGGAAGTAGTAGTAAGGGTTTAAAAGTGGAATTTTCACTGCTGAGTTGGGGAGTTCAACAGCTCAAAAGTATCATCTACAACCTGCCAGAGGCAGTTTTCAAGTGGGAAGTCATTGTCCACCAGGTTGACCAAGTAGTAGTTGTCATGGATGTACTGGATGATCATGCGAGAGGGTGACTCTTCTTCATAGAGCTTGGCCCATTGCTCAATCCACAGTGCAAAGGCCTCATCCTGTCATGGAAAAAAAAGTGTTGGCAGTGGTTGGCACATGTTACCGAGCTGCATTTTCATATTACTTTATTTAGGACAAACAGCTGCATGCCTGGGGATAGTTTCCTCTCAGTAAAAATTGTTAAGAGCTGAGCAAGGAGCCTCGTGCTTTCCAGTCAGTGGGAAGTGCCTTGAACACAAGTGTTCAGAGCTGAAAGGAGACACGTTTGCAGTAAAATGGCTCAATGCTGCCCCTGTGCGTGTAAGAGGGGAGGGAGACCTACTGCCCAGAGCTCTGGGGGCCAGTACAGTGACAGCGGTAGCTCCCAAGCCTCCAGTTACTGGGCACTTGGTGTCTGTGAAGAGCTCTTGCTGGACCAAAGCTCTCCTTACACTTAGGGAGCAGGAGCAGCAACATCTGGACCTCTGCAAGCTAATACCACAGCAGTACTCAATTGCAAAAAGTGTACGAGACTAAAAACAAACCTGACACTCTGAACTTACAGAGTATCACAGCAATGTATCCAGCAGGAGGGAGGACTCACCTTCCAGGAGAGGAAGCTTACAGGATCCACTACAGTGGGCTGGATGATCTCTCTGCCTGGAAAGATGCCCCAGGTGACAGCATTGGGTTGCAGATCTGGAGCATTGGTGATATTCTGGCCCTGCCAAAGGAAGGAAAACCTTGATGAAGCAACTGCTGGAGGAACGATTGAGCTAGTTGGAACAAGTGCATCTACCTTCTCCTTCTCAAGAGGTCAGACAGCAGCTGCACATCACAACTGCCTTGTTTCACTTTCCCTTCACCGACCCCACTTTGTTCATAGTGATACCTGAATCTGAATGTTTGCCTCTCTCTCAAGGTGGTGAAAGGAGAGTGTCCTGTAAACAACAGCCTACCTTGACATTGACAATGTGGTAGTTCACTCGCAACTCGTACTTCTTCAGCACTTTGAGCAGTGCTGTGACGATCTCACTGGAGGTGAAGAACTCTAGGTATGCCTGCAGGGGTGGAGAAGGGGAAAGAGAGCAAGAGCCTTAACTCATGGCAGGACTGGGATACATACAGGCAATGAAGAGAACAGCTGTACAGCCTGTGCTGCTTGGAAACCAGGCAGCTTAAGACTTGTATGTGTATTCCTGGAAAGGTATACTATAGAGGAGGCTTGATCAAAGGGTAGAGCAAATTAGCATGAGAGCTGGGGAAAAAAAAAAATAAGTGGGGAGAGCAGAGGTAACAGCCCAGGAAAGCTACAACCTTCCTGTTTTGCACCTGTGTATGCAGACAGGCTGGAATAAGCTCCACACAGCATAGCCACAACTGCTGTGCCTGGGAAGCACTCTGTGCCAGAGCAGAGTGCTTGCCCTCTGTTCTACGTAGTACCCTACGAACGGCAGTGTCCTGCCAAGGCAGCCCAGTCTGGAGGGAGCAGAGGTCAGGGGTCTCAGATGGGCTCTCCCAAGCACCTTACCATTCCCTGTCCTCATCTTTTGTTCACAATTCTCCCCGTGTGCTTATACAGCCTAATTCTGTACTTGCTCCATCTACTGCTACTCTGTGCTTGGCTGCTCCCAACAACTGCTTCCCCTCCCCCCATTTCCTGGCTATTGTGTGAGATGATGGATTTCCCCTCACCTCGGGGGAATTTTTTCCATTGAATACATAACTGCATTTGCCATCTGCTGGTCTCGGCTTTAGCGGTTTGGATCCCTTTTGAGCAAGGCTGCTTTGTTTCCTAGCATGAGCCACTTGCTTGGCATCTACCTTGATGGGAGATTCCTATCACAGCCATTAGTGGCAAGGCTCTAGGGCCTGGAAATGCAGTAGGAGGCAGGCATGGGAGATAAGACTGCTTGCAGGCCAGAGAAGGAACCTGGCAGCTGCCTGAACAGCACAGCAGTGATGCTGTGGCACGGGGGCAACCGGTGGAGGACTCTGCCTTAGAGAAGGACAGATAGGGGAATTTTAAAATGCCCAGTTATTGCCATGAGAAGTTGGGTGGTAGAGGTACTACCTCATTGATTCTCATTGTATGAAAAAAAAAAAGAAAAAAAGAAAGGCATTTCTTGCATCACTGAATGGGATCAGATGCAGTGGGTAGGCATGTGTTTCTTTCTAAAACTTCATAGCCCCGCTTTAGGAAGAAGTTACTAACAATTGCTTGCTGAGAGTAAAAACAAGAAACTCGGCAGAAGTTCAATAGATGTTTTGAGGTGGGGGAAAAGAGCTATGAAGTAAGCCACTGAGATGACATAGTCTGTCTCTTAAGACACCAAAGGAGCTTTGACTTATCTCAACAAGAAGGCATTAAGATAAGGAACAGGCAGAAGGATTATCTGGGTGAAAGCCTAGGACCTCCCTACCTAACAGAGACCAAACTGGGTCATAACTCTTTGCTGCCTAGTTCAGAGTTGCACAGTACCTTTTGGAAGACATAACCCCCACTGGGGCCCCAGCCTACAATGGGGTCTGTGGATGGTTTGCCATTGATATTTGGCTGGGAGTTGATGGTCAGGATTCCTCTTCTGTTAACCTTCTCCAGCTGCTCCTTCAGAAGGTTCGTTTCCGTAGCAAGAGGGTCGTCATTCCAAGGCATACACGTAACCTACCGTGAGGAAAAAATGGCTCACAATGGATGTAACAACCCTTTTGTTATCATCTGGATGGTGAAGGATCTCAGAAGTGCCCTAATGGTCTCAAACACACCTGCTTCAGGACAGAATTCCCAGGTTTGGCTCAAGAGGCAGGATATCCTCAACTATAAGAACAACTGCTGAAGTCTGTCGCTACTGGTCCCGTCATACTGTAGCAGCTTTCCTTTTATGTTGAGCCCTAACTCTTTTGGATTCCCTTCAGCCACTATCTCAACAAGCCCTTTTGGATAGGGAAGTACCAATTCTTGCTTAGAAGAACATTGTGGTACCAGGAGCAAGAGGAAATACACACTATTGTCTGTGCCACAGTGACCATCTCTTCCTGGGCCATCACTCACCTTGTGCCCATTCTTGTTGGGTTCTCCAGTGATGTAACATGTGAATACCTCAAAGACGCTTTCCTCACCAGTAAGCTCTTCTCCCCACATCTTCAGGAGCTCTTCCCGGGGAGACTTGCTCTTCAGGTAGAAGAGGTAATAGTCCTTCAGTTCCCCAAAGGCTGGAGAGGAGGAGTTACCCCTGTAAGGGGAGCAGGCACAGGATTAACAGGCTACTGAGGAAGATGAGCTGGTTTGGTGATGCACGAAGACAGCCACCCAGGAAGAGAAATATCCAATGAAATCCACCTAGAGACCAAAAGCCTCAACATCTTAGTGCCATTCTCCTCATATCATTAAAATCCAAGCAACTGAGGACCACTTTAAGAAACCACCTGTTTTGTCAAGCCCAAAGCATGCCCAGGACACCCACTAATCAGACCTCTACCTCAGTGCCATTACAGGCTGACAACTTACCATCGGCCATTGGGGAAATCGTCCCATTCTTGGGTTCGATAGATGTAACTCTTTGGCCTGGAGGCCCAGAAGATTGGCCGGACATCTTCAACTCGTCTCTTGGGGTGAGCGCTGACTGCCCAGGGCAGAGGCCGCCTGCATGGGAGGAGCAGATGTTAACACAGTTCCTTTGCTGACTTTCCACTAGAGGCTGGAAGACCTTCTGCTGGACAACTTTGCCTCTGGGGAGAGCAAGTAACAGGGTCTGAGAAGACTTCTATTTGTCATGAAGTAGGACAGAAAACTCTTCTTCCTTTGTGGAAAATCTTTTCCTACTCAGTTCCCTCAAAGGATGCTTGGTAGGTGTCTATTGAATAGTTAAATACAGGACTGACACCTGAAATTGGATGGAGGTAAGGGAAAAGGACTGTATGAAGCTATTTTTAACAAGACAAAACAGCTATCCATTTTCCTCTCCTTCCTCTTGTCTATGCTGAAGCCTGTGGATTCAGGGAGAAGTCCACATTCCCTCTATCAGCTGCTCAGAACCCTAGAAATCCACAGCGGGAGCTTACATAGCGCCTAGCCTGTTAAGAGGAGTTGTGGCAGACCTCCAAAAACATGTTTCTTCCAAGTGGCAGCTCTAGGAGTTTAGGTTTTTAAAGTTCCAGAACAGGCTACTTTAAAGCCACTTGACTAAAATGAATTCCTCCTTCAGCTGTCTCTTCTATTCCTCCTAGCTTTTGTCAGAGACCTGCCTGAAGGGTGAACTTCTACATGCAGAAAGGTGCTAAAAGGAAAAAAAAAAAGCAGCAGAGGACAGGTGCCAACCCCTCCATTGCTTGAACCTACACTAGATGGGATGGATGCATATGAAAGAGGAACTAACAGAAGCCAGCATATTCTGCTCACCTTGGGTCCTCCTTCCATATGCCCAGGCGCTTAAGGACTTCGGTAGTAGCCACTTCCCGATTAAGGGTGTAAAAATGGAGCCCATGCACCATCCCACTATCCAACAGCTCCCGGCACATGGACACTGCCAGCTCCACCCCATAGTTCCGGATAGCTGCGTCATTGTCCTTGATGGGTTCAATCACATCTTTGATTTCTTGAGGCACTTCCAGCTTGGAGAGCTTCACCAGCTGGCGCAGGGAGTGGTAGCCCTGGATGAGGATGCAGGGGATTTTCATTTTTCCAGCATCCCAGTAACACAGGTACTTGATCTCAATTTTGTAGCAGGAGATTTAGAATTGGGGCTCCTGGATTCTATGCCTAGGCCCCATCTCTAGGATGGTAACGCTGTCCTGGTCGCGTCCCTTTAGGTGATTTCTTCCCATTTCTTTATGAAGAAATGCCTGAGTTGCCTGAGCCCAGCATGCTGACAGTGATGACTAACACCTTAGGACTGGTAGGCCATTGTCCTTTATATCCCTTTTTGCCATATGGGCACAGAAGGCCTTTTAAGCTTATTACTACAAGCCTAAGAAGTTAATTTGGCAAACTACCTACAGATTTGTCACATGTTTAGCACTCTCACTTCCCAGAAATTTTGTGGAGGATATTTACAGACCTATCTCAGGCCCTGACCCACAAACACATCCTGGATCCTTATTCCCTCCCCGAACCAGAATTACTGGATTTCACCTGTATGGGGAAGATGCCAGGAATAATGGGGCAGGTGATGCCAATGGCTTGACAGTCCTTCATGAACTTGAGAAAGGTTTCTGACCGGAAGAAAAGCTGCGTAATGATGAAGTCTGCCCCAGCAAAGACTTTCTCCTTCAGGTGCCTCAGGTCTGCCTCATAGCTCTCTGCTTCAGGATGACCCTTGGGGTAGCCTTTGGGGGTTGAAAAATAATTAAAAAAAAAAAAAATGAAATCCTGGTGGTTAGGATAACACACTAGAAATTAGAAAGTAGCCAATCTGATTATGCTGTCATTTACAGCCCATGTCCAGAGGAGGACTGCTGAGCTGATTTCCCCATCTCAGACCCTACCCCACATTCTGCAATCAAAGACATTTACCTGCCACACAGATGTCAAAGTAATCATCAAATTCATTGCGAATGTGCTTAACCAGGTCAACAGCATAGTTGAAGCCATGTACTTCTTCCTCCCACTCCTCACCAGCAGGATCTGAAAAGAGAACAAATCCACAGCTCTCCAACTGTTTGCTGGACTCAGATCTGCTAGTGCTGTAAAAACCTCCTGCTATCAAAAGGAAGACAAGATGAAACCTCCAAGTTTGCAGTTTTGCCCATGGACTACTTTTGTCTACCCTTGAGCTCGAAGGACTGCTAACAAAGGGATCAGGTGAAATGCAGTCTCAACTTTTGATTCCTGGAGCAGGAGGAGCCTCTAAATCTCATCTCAATTTTTACCTTGGAATTGAATGCAACAGCAATACAATCTCAGCCCTATGCATCATAGGACAAAAGGACTCACCTCCACGCAGGGCCATGATGTTCTTCAACCCAAGCCGCTTGGCCTTCTGCAGATGCCCTGTGATGTCATCCTTGGTCTGATTGCAGCATGTCATGTGCAGGATGGTCTCCAGGCCACAGTAGTTGACTGCTGTGTTGGCAATAATCATGGAAGAGGTTTCCTTGTCAGATCCTGGGTCCCCTGCAGGGTGCCACGTCACATCAATGAAGAGTGGACCACCTGCTCCCATGCGGTCAAACCTGTGGATTTTAGAGCTGTGTTAGCCTACCAGGTCACCAACCCCCCTCTGTGCCTGGGATACCTTGCTGCTGGAATGCCAGCAACAGGCAGAGAGCGCCTGGATGACAGCAGCAGGAGAGACCAAGAAAATTGTTGAACTTGGGGTTTACCAAGTGGCCAATGTAAATAAGGAAAGTCATCCTTCAAGGCTGTGTGAGGAAGAACTCACAATCTCTTTAAAGGAGAGACAACTTAAGTGTTCTCTGCAGAATAAACTTCCTCCCATCATGCTTAATTACACTGATATGTCTTCTGATAGCCAGCAACACAAGTCCCATTCCTTTTGAGATGGGAGACTATGCTGCAGCCCCCTGTTACAGCTTTAACTGTAGAGGCCACAAATATGAAAAGGTGGACCAGATCTCTGTTGTGTTCCCAAGGGTGCCTAACAGAAGAAACAAAGGCTCCCCTAACTTGTCTCTCTTCTGCTCTGGGTTGGAACAGGCCCTTCTGTTTAAAGTAAACCTGGCAGTGGCATACAGCAGTTACAAAAAGTTATGAAACTCCCTCTTCTCCTCCAGGTGAGTACACAGTGGCTCCTGGGGCTCCCCTCTAGGTGCCAGCATAACCTTTAGTTCAGGACACCTATCTCGGAAGCTAAAACTATAGTCCTCAGTGATAGAGGCACAAACCATAGTGGCTGGATGATTCTGAAAACAAGTGGAAGTCTTTGTTCCAGAGACTTGGGCACACTGGCCATCAATTAGTATTCTCTGCTTTTAATAGGTGCTTTCTGCTCTGTTGTTCCCCAGCACTCTGCTTCAGCCCCAGAGCACAACAGTGGGGTTGCTCCATCTTCACAGAGCACGGGAGAGGGGAAACAGTCTGGCCCTCTCAGTAACCTCACCATGACACTTAACTCTTCAGGGCCTCCAAGGAGAACAAGTTACCTGGTGTCCATTACCCTCCGCAGCAGGAAAGCACAGCCCCATTACCTGCTTCGTCACCTGGAAGGGGAGACAGAGCATGGGGCAGAGCCTGCCTCATTAGCTATTTCCCAGCCCTCCACCAAAGACAGCCCACCTCTCCCCTCTCCCCTCTCCCCTCTCCCACCCTGCAGCCCTCACCTGGAGATGAGATTGACAGCAGCATTGGCTGTGCGTGGAGGGAAGAACTCCAAGGAGAACCACTTGTCTCCAGAGTCCTGCCGTCGGCGCATCTTTTCCCGCAGTCGCTCATGACGGTCAGCATCAAGGACAGGGGTGGAACAACGTGAGCTGTCCTTGGAGCTCTCACTCCCACTACTGCTGCCACCATCAGATTTAGAGCTGGAACTGGCACTGCAGGTATGCTGGGTCTCATTGACCATGGTGAGCTCTCTGGAGAAGGGGAACAGAAGGAGCACAGTGGGTAAAAGACGGGGGATAGATCTCAGCTAGAAGCAGCTATGGCTGGGGTGGGCAGCAGATGATGAAAAAGAGCCTGTGCCAAGACCCGACATTAATCATCATCAAGCAGTCCCTTGTGCAAGCCCTCACTCTAAGCTGTAGTGGGAGTTCTGATGAAAACACAATAAAAAGCATGTGTTTACACAGTGCTGAGAGAAATAACGCAACAAATGGCTTCATGCCACTTTGATGTAGCTCTTCTGTGGCTGCTGGGTCAAGTTTGGCTCTCAGAAGAGTCAGGTCAACATCACTTTTGCCCTGACTACAACTGAGCAAGCCATGATACCCACATGCATCAGGTGAGGGCCTCTTTGATCTTGTGGCCTTGGGCTGGACATGCCAGACTTTTATTTTTATTTTCTCCTACAGCAGCTGCTTCTTGGACTGTATCCATCTGCAGAGTTTCCACTCTGTTTGTTCCCAAAAGGCAGTGCTGCTTTATAGTTTAAGTAGGAGAACAAGTGCACAAGAATGCACAAGCTCTTCCTATGTCAGAAAAAAGTGAAGAATCCCCTCTGATCAGGCCACCCCCACAAATACTGTCCTTTTTTTTTTTTGTCTTTGCTGGCATCAGGCAGTTGCATTTCTAACTGTTAGCCTTCTTCCACAAGATACACCATCTCCAGAGACAACTATGCCAATACCACCACACACACTCAGCTCTTTCCTTTCCCAGAGATGCTGTTGATGTTCCTTTCCTCCCCAATTGTAGCTATTTGGAAACAAGGTCAGCAGAGGCCATCCTCTTCTCCCTGCCTTGTAACATGATCAGCTGTGCTTGTTTGACTGCACAGAAAGGAAGACAGCACTGCAAGTCAGTGGTACAAGCAGGTCTCGGATGCCCAACTCCACTTGGCTCCCAAAAGTGTTTCACCCTATGCCTTTAAAATTAGGTAGAGATTACAGATAATTAGAGACAAGCTGTGATAAAATTTGCATCTGTGTTATTTGCTTATGCCGCTGCCAAAACTTAACATGGTCCCTGGGAAGCGGCATGTTGTCTGAGCATTACATAATGCTGGAGCCCATTTTGGAGGGAAGGGGTGCATGAGTTCCTGCGCACTTTGTCCTTATCATAAGCTCTGTGGGTTTAGGTCATCCAAAAAGACTTTGAACTCATCTTCTACTGTTTACACTGAGTTGCCAATCAAGCAAAAGCCTTTGGGAGAAAGTCTACTTTTACCACCTGGGGACCTCTCCAGCTGGCAGGATATGTGAGAAAGGAGCGCAGGCTGCCTGCTGCCAAGGAGGAACTGAGAGCCTTAATTCTCTTGTGTACCAACATAGCGGGCCACGGTAAAAGTCAGCAGCACAGACCTATTGACAACTGAAGCAAAAACAACAGGGTGCATAGTAACAGCCCTGACCAAGCTTTCTCAAAGGACTTCGCTTGGCATCCACGTGGCACTAATCTGGGAGAATTATCCCAAAGCATATGTTGGTGATCGAGCTAGCAGCACAAAATCACATGCAGTCCACTCCCGATCTCTCCCTTCTAGCAAGCAGGCCACAGTGCTAGAGGGAAATCAAACGAACTCCGTTTTCCCACTGGGGATTTAACAGCCATCACAAGGGAAGGGTTCATGTCTTGGAAGAGACTTGCTGTTGAGGAAAGGTCCTGATCTTACTGGCAATCTAGAACCACAAAGACAGGAGAAAGGCCCCACTTAGATTTTGTCTACAAGCAGCATTTGGAGCAGTTTCCTTACCATCAGATGCATCACGGATCTGCGGTCAGAAGCTTGCAGTTATTGCAAAGAGAGAGAAAAAAAGATTTTCCAAACAACAAAACAAGTTGCAAAAGAACAATCTTAAACCCCTGCCCGCTCCGTTGGGTCGGTACTCCTGCGCCTCCGTCTCTACCATACCACAGAGCAACGATGCCGATCAGCGTGGACGTGCCAGCTGTGTTTATGTGATGCTGGTGGTGCCCGTTCGCTTTGCCGTGGGGCATTTTTACCGCTTCCAGGCCTGAGCTGACACCCACACGTGCAGTGCGGGGGTCTGCATCCTCCTGAGCTTAGTTTTACCACCCAAACTAACCCCGGCTGCACAGACCCACACCTCACGTGGGTCACTCACGCCTGCAAGGGACTAGTAGCCCATGGCCCCGCTGTCCTGGGCCACGGCAGGGGGCTGACAGCCCTGCGGGGCAGATGAGGG